CGGACTTGTACATTGTGATACCTCCATAAAGGATCTGAATACCTCCCTGCAATTGCCTGCAGAGTACTACCAGTTTCATTCAGAGACAAAGAATGTACTGCATGCCGGAGCTATATTATTTGATACGTACAGTAAGATAGTGACAGCATTCAGAGAGCACTTATCCTCCATTGCCAGCTGGTTCCCACCTACAGCCTACCAAGAAAACATAGGGAGTAGGACGCCCAAAGAACCAAATCACTTAAATGCTGTGACACTAATTACATATTCAAGAGAAAACACTGCTCTTTAATGTTGGAAGGCAAAATATTATGTTTGTCATTAACTGGAACTGTTTAGTCATTCTGATATTGATTATTTGAATTATATATTAGTTTTCATGCTAATTCCTCTCCTTAGCTTTTTGTTATTGCAGTCTTACTGCAGTCTCTCTGTGCTTACAAATCCTAAGTGACGAACACACCAGTCAGCTCAACAAAGAATTCAGGCCAGCAAATAACCCGATAAAGAACAAAGGCAAGACCCCCTTCAGATGTACCTTCTCAGGTCAACCCTGCCTAAGAAATACTGAGAGGCACTTCTCTTGTTTGTTATCATTTGCTTTTGCACTGTTATTATTCTTCCCTGAAGTCAATTTCTCCTATTTGCTGTTTCTTCACAGGTAGAAGAACCCCCTTGGAATGGTTTTGAAGATCAATGTGGGGGGTGTTTCTAATTATGTAGAAAGAAAACACTAGCTTGCATGTCAACAGATGTGTGCAAATGAATGCATATCAGCCCACAAAAAGGTTGGTGCTGTTTGCCTTTTAGCTACCATAATGAATCTCCGGGATGAATTGGCAGTTCAATGGCAAATACAGTAAGAGTGTGTGTGAATATTCATCAGCTGTTTGTACATTCTCTGTGTGTGGCTTTCTCTATTATCAGCATTGATGGACTCGCTGCATCCAATTACGTTTCCAATAAAGTGTCTCAATGGGAAGATTCTCCTTTTCAACAATGCATCTTGCTGTTTGTGTATACAGGTAATGTAGCCACTATTCCTTATTAAATAATAAATGTTGTATTGCATTTGACTGATGAAACATAACTGTGATGCACAGATTACTATTAGCAGCACTTCAAGCCACAGGAGAGAAGAAGTATTAGGGACACTCCTTTTTTTCAAGCAAAAAATAATTACATCCTTAGAGTATAATCATCAAAACAAATAAAAAAATATTCAGTGACATGCTTTCTCCATGTCTCCAAGTCCATATTAAGTAAGTCTTGTCTGAGGTTGCTTCATTAGGTAACATTTCTCTTTGCCAATTCTGATTAAGTACATTTATATTTGTTAGATTTTTTATAGAAAGGGGGAAAATATTGTCATATACTATACAAGATTTTCTTATAGGTAATTTAGTACACATCAACAAGTTGCACATTGTTTTTTTTCACAGTGCTTACTGTGAATAACAGTTTATCCATCAATCCAACACTACTGTTCAGCTTCTCTGCTGGTTGCCTGGCAACCAAACAGTGACTACCGTGACTCTGGGAAGTCACTTGGCCAGGCTGTTGTTCACCTAGAAATAGTTCCTGCATTTAACTTTTTTACATTTTTGTTTGTATTTGTCGGTTAATCATTGCTCTAGCTCTAATCTCAATGCACAGACATGAGAGTGGCATCAATCTTATTTTCATCTAGGAAGCAAATAAGTGTTTTTCTCAAAATGTCAAACCTTTTTTCTAATTGTTAGAGTATAGAAAATAATAATTTGCATAACTCAATTTCTTTGGTGTATGGTTTTACTACTGCAATAACCCAATTTGCATCTCAGGGACCATTCAAGTATCATGTAGTCTAATCTAAATGATTGACATATAAAATAAAATAACTACATAATTTGAATTATGCTTTCAGGGGAGGGTAATAATCTGTATCTGTATGTGCTGCATGGATTTGAGTGCACTCACTGACATGCGTAAGATCCCCTGACCCAATTTAGGATTTGTAAAAAAATCTGGTCATCCTACTTACATGATGATGTGTGTCAATGTCAATCTTTGCCCAGTTTCAATCTAATCCCACTTCATCCAAAGTAATATTTGTACTGACTTTGTGTCACAATTTATGCGGTGCATGGGAAATGTGCAAAGTCATATTCCAAATGATTATGGGTTTTTCATTTGCATATTGGATTAAATGGTTGGGTTGATACTGTAGGTTATCAGTTTGAACTCATATGTCCTGACACAGAGATGATTTGTATAATTTGAGTTCTATTTTAGAATAATCTGACCCTCACAATCTGTTTCTGTTTATGCCTCTCTAGCTTTCTTTTTAATGCTTTTTTCCACTTTTGTTTTCCCAGGAAATGAGCACATTGGCTGTGATGCAAGAAGGAATCCCTTCAATGCAATGATCAAGCACTATTCTTATTAAAAGCATTATAGCAGAAGCTGCTGTGGTACTGGATGTCACATCGATGTCCCAAGGGACTGATGATATTCAGGGTACATAATGTCCCGGATGTCACAGATTTTTTTCAAAATGACTTTATTCCCCACTGTAATAAACCTAAAAAAACCAACAAGAAATAACTTTAAAATGCTTCAAACACTAAAATCTGATTCTAATTCACATTGCACGTGTGAATGCTCTGGCATAATATGACACCACGTCCATGTGAAGGTACCTTGCAATAATACACTGAAGGATCTCATTACTGTGCCTTTGTTTGGCAGAAAAGTCCTCAAGTGAATTCAATAATATATTCAGTATCATTGTGACAGTTTTTTTTCTTTCTTTCTTTAACTCAAGGGCTTGCACTTGTTCCATGAAAAGTAAAATGTGACTGATTGTTGTTATGAGATAGATTCAGAGGGCAAATTGCTGCCTGTAGGATTTTTTTGCTGCACTTATTTTCTCTCCTTGTCTCTTTCTTTATCTCCTGCTTTTATGTAAAGAATTTGGATACTCTTCCTCTTCCTTCCCTTTTACCCGTACTGTAACTACACCACTCAGCATATCTACCAACTATTTACCGCTTTCTGGCCAAGTGTTCAGAATCAGAACTACTTGGAATTCAACACATTAATTCCATCAAACCCTGGCAGAAATGTGTTGACATGGAGGCAGTAAAAAAGACATAATGTAGTCTTGTGTAAGAAACCTGAGCAAATTACAACATGCTGAAAACTGTAGCGGACCAGTGGGTGAGTAATGAAGACAGACAACATTGATGAAGAAGACCAAAGAAAGCAATCCTGACAGGGTTTCTTTCTAATCCTCTCCTTAACGCCTCTCTAACCTTCTTTGTCTTGTTGTCTTTTTCCCTCTATTTAATTTCACTCTCCCACAGCAGTGCCAATGGGCTGCCATGATGGCTATTAAGATGTGATGGTTTTCAATAACTTTTTATAGAGTTTGGACATCAGAGACCTATTTGCAAAATGAACTGATGAGACATCAGTGAGGTGTGAGAAGTGCACTGTAATCAAGTTAACTTTGAGAGGTTGAAACTCAGTGGAATGGGTCAATCAATTTATGTTGTTTAACAGGGGTTTTGTTTTTGCCAACTGAAAAACAGATGGGACATGTCATATTAACGTATCAAACATGCAAAAGTCTCAGCTTGGGGAAATATTCTTTATATGCACTAAAGAGGCCTCCCTGAAGAATATTTAAAATAAAATCCCACTTTATGTTCGTATAAGTAGTACTCCAGTCTTTGTAGCTTTGAAGGTGTCAAACTTGCTGAATGTTGAAAGCTGTCATTGTCTGAGAAACCCATCTATCTCTCTGAATTTGAATAAATTGTAAAACTAACAACTACATGCTCTTTAATTGTTCTTTGTTAGGAAGCATGACTGAGATGAATGAATGTTTCAATCATCCAACAAGATTACATTCCAAGTCCAACTAAAATCACAATCCCATTTTTCAGTCAAAAATAATGTCAACACTCAATCCATTGTTACTAGCTTATTATTAGTATTGAAAGGGAAAAAAATATATATTTGAGAGATTATTAAAAATGTTCCTTTTACCACTCAGCACTTGAGGAGAGTGTCGGTATATTATTGACCACAGAGCCAGCAGGCTGCGCAATGACCAGGCAATGGAGAGAAAAAGAAAACTAACTTGTGCTGGAAGCTGTATGGTTCACAAGCCAAGGACACAGTGTTTTGTTAGCAGCCATATTGAAGAGTAAGGATCACATCATCATCTGAACTGACCATAATGACATTTGCAGATATGTTTTTATGCCATTGAATGTACAGCAGCTCACCAGCAAATTAACTATCCTACAAACGGACTTATAGCAGTGCATTGTTACCTGTTGGATGATTGTTTGATCATTAATTCACAAGCCAACTCAGCAATACAAGACATGTGTTTGTAAGTTAAGAAGTAAACATTAGTAGGAAAGCTACTGTGAGCCCTTTAAGGCTACTGTGAGCCCTTTAATTTCTGTTTTGGGTACTGATTATTTTCTCTGTTTTTTTGATGTAAATATTGAGACTTTGTAAATGAGCTGAACTTGTTGTTACAGAAGCCATCAGTTGGTGATGTGCACATGTCCTGTAAATGAGGACACAAGTAGGTCACTTCATCAACATTATAATTTTTGCTCAGGGGCAATATTGCGCCTCATATCACTAGCTTCCTTCATCTGGCTGTAATGAGCTAATTACTGACGGAGTCCAATGTAGCAATCGTTGACTTATTGTTATATTAAAGTTGGTAGAAATTTAATTATTTTTGTCCCAGGTTGTTTGTTTGATTTTAAAAATAGAAAGCATTCTGACAAAGGATTAAGTGTGAAGTGTTTGACAACATGAAGTGGAAATGACTACAATTTGTGCAGCGTAGTCTATCATTATCTGGTACCCTACTCATCCAGCATGTGGGAGCAATTATGTTTTTTCCTGTTTATTTGCACATGTAAATATCTAACCCCTTGGTCTTGCTGTGTAGTCAAAAATGTCATTTTAAGAGATTAAAATCTCACCTTAGACCGTACAGAACAGTACCGTCCGGGTGCAGTCTGATCATTCTATTTTTCACTGTGACACCGTGGACAAACGATTTCTTGTCGTTGAGGAAGTAGGTGTCAGGGACCCAGAGCTGGTCAGCCACCCTGTTATCTAAGGTCAGGTTGAGGGGGATCTCAGAGTAGGACAACCTCTTGTCTCGCCAGGCCTGCTGGAAGTACATTGTCAATGTGTAGTCCTGAAAAGTGCACAAAGAGGGAGCAAAGGAGGACACAGAGGGGAAGAGGAAAGCGGTTGGGAGAGTGAGGAAGAGAGGTGGATAAAATAGAGGAGAGATGGAGAGAAAAGAGAGAAACAAGAGAGGGTTACCCCAAAAAGCGACATTTTACACAGCTGCAATGTAGTACTTCTCCACTGCAAGCTCTCAGATATGACCATACTGGGCTTCAATATTGGATGAAGTTCACTTAAAAGCAAATGGAACAGTAGCAGTACAGGTCAAAAAACTCTCAGTACAAAGCAATGGGGAATTACTTCTTTTCATAGAAACATGAGGTTAAGACAGACAGTGTGAAAGAGTGTGTATGTGTCAGAGAGGGGGAGAGAGGCAGAGACAGATGGTTAGGGTTTAGTGTTTGTGTGTGTGTGTGTGTGTGTGTGTGTGTGTGTGTGTGTGTGTGTGTGTGTGTTAATATATGTTAATATATGATAAAAATATGTAGTTTGCTTGGTTGGTTTATTGTGTGTGTGTGTGTGTGTGTGTGTGTGACAGAGAAGAGAGAAAAGGGAGCAAGAGAGACCACATGTTCCAGGCAAATGAAAATAACCTCTAAGCAACCTCAAAAATCTGTTTTACAAAATATCTCCTATATGCTCTATTTGCTTTGACAGTTGCTGTCTTTCTGGGATTAAGTATTGTTTGTGAAATGGGCTCACTATGTTGTATTTGCTTAATATATTCACCCATTTTCTTCTTTGTCCTCCCAAAATAAGAATGGTAGACCATCCTCTCTCATCACATCAAGTTGTGCACAGACAGCACATAGCCTTTAAGGGACTGTATATGTCTGCTTTCCATAGCAGAGTCAGACATCAAAGTGTGTTGGTCATAATATGCATGTTTTTTTATTTATTTTTTTTAAATGAGAAATATATACAGTACATGCATTGTATAAGCACTATAAGCTTCCAACAACTTCAGAAATTGCATCCCTTTTTTTATAGGCATGGATAGGATGATGTAGAAGCTTGTCCATGCAACAGCATTACTGAGGCAAGCTTGAGTATATGTATTTTATTTGAAAACTGTGGCTATGTCAACACTTCAAGCCTCAGAGCTCAATTCTAAATTATTGCTCAGATCAGATTTTTTGTTCACATGATTTTTTAAATGTGACCCATGTCAGATCACAGTGTGAATGGTCACAGTCCTGTAGTGACCTTTATGACAAATGTAGATCTACAGTGACATAAAAGTCACATGAATTCTGATATGACTGTCCACACTGTGGTCATATTGCACACAATCAGACCTGTATCTGATTTGGACCACATATGAAAGTGGCCCAAATTAGAGCTGAAAAAAGAGTGTGATTGTTTGGAGTGATACAAACTTTCTTTGGGTTCTTTCTCTCGGGTAAATTCGTTTTTTTTTTTTTTTTTTTTTTGTGTTAGTCCCCACAACCCCTGGACAATTCGGACAAGTGTGAACATAGCCAAAGCAGTACTCGGTGGAGTTTTACCAATTTGTCTTTTTTTATTTTATGAATTAATTCCTGTATTATTTGTATCTCATGCTTTACAAGAATGTGCACAATGTTGCAATCATACATGCATGTGCATGCAGGCAACCAGGTATAATGCCAAAGCAGGTCCATCTTGGCAGTGTCATGTTTTGCCTCGCCAAGGGATGAAAAATACAAGCATCCTCATTATGCGGTCAAGTTGCAATGTCTGGTTACAATTGTTACGATATGTTACGATACGTTACGATACATTGTGATACAATACGATACATTACGATACGTTGCAATACATTATGATATATTATGTCACATACATAAATAAATATATTATCTTTGTTATGTACAGTACAATAAGTCAATGTTGAAATTTGGTTTTACACTGGACATCAACAGTGGTGAAAATCGAATGTGTGAAAGAGCCATGTTTGACCCATGCATCCACCCAGAGCTCCCTGTTCCTGTGATTATCACCCCCTGCTGGTATTGAACCTGCATATAGGTGTGTACTTTTCACGACTAGGGAGGGAAAAAAGTAGCACTGACACGGTATCCTCTAGTGGATCGGCAGGTCTATTTTATGCTTTGGCTTGATTCTGGATATACAAGTCAGTAAACCCACTGCGATCCTAAAAAGCCTTCAGAGCACTGATTGTGATTAAATTCAGGGTACATACAAGGATGAAACATTTTTTTCCCATGATGGCAAACACAAAAACCTGAAACACATACAGTAGGTTATTATTTTATACACAAATAAAGGGAATTTGATAACTTGCAAAAATTATCTGGTGGTGAATCTAGGACATGATGAAACAGTCAAGCCAGCAGTCAGATACTCATGTAGCTCACTGAAGTAAGAAGCCTACCAATCATCCATGAAAAACTACGTTAAATAAACTTGCTGTCTCAGGGAACTTTTTGTCATGACTGGCACATCCACTTCCTGGCAAAGAGGCTGAACATGCATTTTTGAATATGCCCGTCGGCTACAGATCTGACATCCCACAGCACCTTGGGAACTGGAGGCTTGGATATTGACTGGATGGAGTCAGGGAAACAGGAGCAGATTTTCTCAGTGAAGTCCTTGTTTGACTTAAATAAGTTTTGTCATGTTGCTGTTGTTTGTGCCTTATTTGGCTTGGGGTGCTGACAACCACGAGTTTGAGAATTTAGGTTTTTCAAAAGACATAAATAGCATAGTGGCAATTCTAACACGTTCAACTCCATAATGGCACCGTAATGGGAAATCCAGTGTGAAATACTGTATGAGTTTAAACTTCAATTTTCCTGTATTTTTATTTATGAAAGAAATGCTGGAATACCTTACTTAGGTTAGTTTAAACAAAAACATTTGAAGGGGTATCTCAATGAGATGTTGGAAGATTGACACAAAAATGAGGCAGTAGGTAACATAAAACATGGAAAAATGGAATTAAAGGCAGTATTTTTTCTCACTTATTGAAAAAAATAACAATAAATAACTGAATAGCTGGGTGGTTTTATAGTTGCACCAACGGATCCTTGCACATGCTGCCTTCGCAACACTTCATCCCTGGTTGGTGATTATATAATAGCTCACACTCCGCTCTTTCTGGCATGCTGCATGTGCACCACAGCACATGTGGCTGAAGAGATGCTTGTTGCCATGTAGTCCTCCTAAACTATCTCTCCTGCACTCATCAATACACTCCCATCAAACAGGAGGGTTTACTATGATGTATGAAACATCAAGGAGGCTTCTCTCCCTCTGGTTCTTGTGGGAACACACACATACACACAGTATATCTTCCTGTCATGTTAGAAATGTGGACATCTAAAATTACATCTGCAGTTTGCCTCAGTACATTCTTTCTATAGATGGTAAGTACATTGAAAAATGATACATGCACTATATAACATAACAATATGACCATCTCTTGCATGTACGTATCGATGCCTTTTGGGAAATATAGATCCCCATAGACATAAGCACTACACTGTATATGTAGGTGTGTTTGTTGAGCTTCAGGGATCACAGCCAGAGCTGAACACGGATAGAAGATAACAATGCAGCTGTGATTTTTACCTGGCAGTGTGGATGCAATACGTGATATTTCAATATGCAACATGTCCTTTGCAATGTAGAGGCAGGGATTAGATAAAGTCATGTCTTGTGTATTACATCACTTACAGCCCAAGCACTCATAATAAGCATCATTTGTAAAAGCCATCAGCCATTCTGGCATGAGAACAATCTTCCCCACCACTTATTAAAGCTGAAGTACTCTTAGGTAGCCATGAAGCTTTAGAAAAAACTGACAGCCATGGATAAGAAGGTGCTATGTGACGTGGGGCATAATTATTAAATTGAGTGAATGTTTCCATTGTCATCCCTGAGAGCCCATTATTGCAGGAGTATATACTTGCGGTTTGCTTTGTAAGATGGGCTCTGTGGAGATGCCACTGTGGCTAGTTTACAGTGAACATAAAGCTCTCCTCAAAGACAGCTATAGTGTGCCTCGTTCTTTCTCTCTCTGTGGGAGGAGGAGGTTGTAAATCACCAGAATAACTGCAGCTGCTGTGTGCATGTAAGTGCAAGGGAGGCTGTCATAACAACAGTCATAATGAGCATCAGTACATAAACTATGTTGGAGAGAGAAAAAGAGAGCAAGAGAGAAATGGAAAGAGGAAGGAAAGAAGACGGAGAGTGATAGAGGAAGAATGATGTTGAATTTATGAGTGCAGAATATGCTGTGCTGCCAAGCTGCCAAGGAGAGGACAATACAAAGTGATCATTATATTCTCACACTTGAAGCTACTACAGAATGTGAGAATCCATTATAAATAATAACTAATATCCACTTGCACAGAATGCTTCCTACTGTGTTAATGTTTCTCATTTAGATTTTGTGATAAATACATTTCTTAGAAATCTTGTTAAACACAAAAAAGATTCAATATAAGTCAGTCAGTCAATTAATCAGTCAAACTGTCATTGATCAATTGTGTTCCTATCTGTGACTCTTGTTATTTTCTGTTCTAAAACTTTTCAAATACAAAAGTATAATACAAATTATAGAACTGAAAACGACCTTCCTTGACAAGGACAATGTACATTACAGTTCTGAAAAAACAATGCAAACCTTTAAAAAAAGGAAACAATGGTTACTCTTAGCGTAACTATAAACTTGATAGTTACTGTATTACAACTACCTTTAAGTCGTGGGTAAAGCAACTCCATCTGTGTTATTTGATCCACCTCAATGTTAGCTTCAATAGTGGGACAACTGAACACTGCTTTACATCATATTACTCTGCCAATCTTAACCATCAGTAACATTACAGGCAACGTGCACCTTATGTAGTTCCTCATCTACATTGCAGAACAGAATAGAAATATGTTTATATATGTAGCTACCATTAATTAACTTATGCAAATTCAATAAACATAATACAGTCATCCACAAAAATCATCTTATAAAAATATGATCAGTCATATATGAGTTTGCAGTTT